TGCTGTACAAATAGAAACAGGCAGGCAAAGTGGCAGCTGCATTGCCTGAACGTAATCAGGACGAAATTAAAGCGCAAAGTTTGCTTTAAGTCGACTCGTGCAGCGGCCAACGCTAATTAGATTTTTTAGTTCCACTTAGCAGCAGAAGGCCAGAGTCCATTGGTCCATAGCCTGCCTTCTTCGCCAGCATTTCATGCAAATGAATGAAATTAAAAGCACATTATACTATATAATGCGCCCTGATTTGCCCCAAGCAAACTTAATTTAAAGATTTGCCAAGCTACATCCATATATATGTGTATATGTATTGGGGCTTAGGCAGGTCCCTAGATAGCCGCAGTGCCAAATTGTGGGCATAAGTGACTTTCGAGAGGACATAAATGCGGCTGGGACCCCATTGATTGGGTTGCCTTGATCAAAGTCATAAGTCAGCGGCATACAAATCTCCATGTAAATATCCTTTCACAGTTGAGTTGTCCTTTTCGGACATGAACACGGACACGGACATCCCGGGATGGCACAGCACGTCTTAGCAACTGGATTATTAACATTTCAATATAATTTGTGGGCCGGCCCCTGTGGTTCATATATTCTCGGGATGATGGGTATGGGTTTGTTCAACTTTTTCTGCTGACGTCTGGGAAAATTAACGCGCCTCAGGACTTTGATCCTTTTTTTTGTTGTGCGAGTGTATTTGTTGGTGCTCCGTATTTGCCTACATATTCATCAATTTTTGGGTTAAGTTGTGGGAGGTTTCCGGGTCGGGTTTGGTCCTATAAAACATAGTATATGCGTATACATACCATTTCAGATGCTGGGCGGCCAGCACGTTTTGCGGTTGCTGGCGTCAAATTGTTTTGCTTGTTTGGGGCTTTCACTGTCACAGCGGGATGTTATCAGTGCGTAGTCGGTCAGCTGGTGGTTTTTCGATCGGAGCGCCAGCTAAACGCTTTTAGCTTTAATGCACTGACCACTTAGTGCCGGCGAGTTCATAATTGCCATTACGCATACGCCGTGTGGTCGGCTACACAAAGCGAATTGCCAAATGAGATTGCTTGCAATGGGCCGGCCGGTCGTATCGGGTCAATAAAACATTAGGGACACATACATCTTGGCAAGGCCGTTTCGGAGCCAGAGTTTCGCTACTCCCAGGGGGCAGATCAGCCATCCAGCCATCCAGCCATCCAGCCAACCACATCCTGACCGGATTCGTGTCCTGGATGGGGTTGCGTGTAATTAAGCGCTGCAGCTTATGTAAGACAAACAGGAAATAAGGTTTAGCACAAACGCATAAATAACAACGGCAAATCAGTAAACCAAAGCAGCCCAACAGGCAGTGGGTAACATAAATAAAGGCATACAAACAATGAAAGCGGATAACATAAAATTTACAACAACTAAATCCAACAAAACACTGGTAAGACAAGGCGTAAAAGTGTATAGTTGTGCACTGGCAGGAAAATTAAGTAGGCATTGTGACAAAAGGGGCTTGAATTAACTCTTTTAAAATATCAAAGATAAGATAAAGGCTAACTTAGTTCTGTTAATTTATTTTACAACTTTCACCAAATTTAAAAAATAATGTTTTTTAATATGCATATTACAAAAAGACACATACAAATACTAATATATTTAAAGCAAGGTTTTAACATGTACTTGGTTTTTCTTAGAAAGGACTTAATTTTATTGTTATTTTCACAGGTAGCTTATTGCTATTTTTTTGTTTAATTTTGTGTAACAAAAAGTAGGGCGTCCTCTCCTCATTTTCGCTTAGTGCTTTGGAGTTCCGCACACATGTACACTTGTGTACACCCTGAGTAGCTTCCGTCTTTAATCAAATGGTACAAGGGGGCGTGGCAGGCGGCACTGCTGACACACTTAGTCCAAAAGGCGACTCACAATCCCCTATGCTCATTCCCAAAACCCCCCAATCCGCAATCCCCGCCAGTTGAGCTGAATCACCTGGTAGCTCAGTACTTTCCTAACGCTTCGGCACAGAAAGACAGAAGAGCACAGGAAGTCGAGGCGGGCGGAAAGGGACAGGTGCGTCCTTCTCGGCAAATATACAAAACACTTGTAACTGCTAGCAAGGATTTATGATTAATTTATGTGCACGTGTGTGTGTGTGTGTGAGTGTGAGTGAGTGTAAGACAACGACAACGAGAACGAGCGACTGTAACGATGGCAAAAACTTAATTAACTCATTACATACGCACCGTTTTAATCAGCAAACGAGCCGACACGGAAACGAGCGAAAGAAATGAAAAGCTGCCAGCACGCTTGACATGCTGACACCGGGGGGTGGCTGCCAAAAGGGGGCGTGGCCGTTGGAGAGACCTGCCAATCGAGCTCTCGGCTCAGTGCAAATTTAAAGCGGCCTTTGACTGCAATTAGTGGCTGCCTCGATTGTCTGCCTCGCGCACTTTCCAGCCGACAAATGTATCTCACGGATACGTTCGAGTATAACGTTGCGTGCCAGGATTTTCCCCCATTTGCCATTTGCCATTTGCCATTTCCCTTTGAGGCGGGTGCAAAGGGGCGAAAGCAATAACCTGAGAACCGCCAGAGCGAACCTCAACGATTGATTTACAATAACCCCAACTACTCGAGCCGAGTCAAGTCGCCTCAATGTGCTAAGCCGAGCTCTGCTCCGCAACTGCGATTACAATGGGCTCATTAACGGTGGCGTATACGCAATTTCCAATTAAATTAAAAGTGGCCACGCACACACAAACAAAGAGCACTGGGGGAAAAGGCGGGAGTTAAACTGATACATAACGTTACATTATTATGCTCTTGAATAATATGTATACAATTGATAGACTAGAAATAAATATGAATTTATGAATAATTTTGTATCTCAGTTGAATCTTGTGCTGTTAAATAATATTCTTAATTATGTTTGCTTATTTTGTTTTTCTGCAATTTAAATACTTAATTTAACATAGTTTAGTTTGCAATTTTACCGATTGGTTTTCAGTAAAAATTTCTTAGTTGAAAAGCCATGGCACTTTCTTAGACTAATTGTGAAACTGCATTTAAATAACATGTTAATTCAAATTCTAAAAAATGTTGTGTTAAAAAATTATTAAGTTTTTTTCAAAATTAATACAGTTTGCTTTTCGAAAAACGTCCGAAAACTTTGCAGCTTTCTTACATAATGTAAGTATTTCTCAGTGTCCATCCTTCGTATATTTGTAAACGTGAACACGCAGAGATTTACTCGTTTGGTTTGTGTTTTTAAAAGGCCAACAGACCGCAGTCAGAACGATTTTACTTATACAGTCCGCCTTCCTCTCCCGCCATTTCTCCATCAGTTTCGCTGGCTCTGGGAAATTCCTTTTAATATTTATTTAACACAAAAGCTTTCCGCATTTCGCATTTTGCCTTCGCTGAGGCCGCGACGACGACGTTGCCGTTAATTTTTCGCTTTGCTTTTCATTTTCGCAAAATTACCGGAAATGTTAATTTCTGCACGTGCAGCAGACAAGGCCGTTGGATGGGGGGATGGTAGGTGGTTCTTGGCCACGCCCATCGGCGTTGTCAGCCTCGAATGTTGTCGTCGTCGTCGTCGTCGTCAGTGGGCCCCAGCTGAATGGTGCTAATTATTTAGGGTAAGAATTCTCTGTGTGTGTGAGTGTGTTTGTGTGAGTGTATTTGTGTGTGTAAATGGGGTGGGGCTTTAGGGTTGACCCCCGAAAAAAGCCCCTCCATTGCATTGGCCCTTAACCCATTACCACCCCACGTGCGTCGCTGTGCTGGCTTTGCCTTTTGGCAAGTCTTGGCTGAGCTGGGCTCAACCGAACTGAGCTGACATAAGAGTGCACGAAGGACAACCAGAGGCACCTAAAAAGCCACCCAAGAACCACCCCCTAAGATTTCCCATTCGTATCCGTTCCCTCGCATTCGCGACTTTTTTCTGTGCCAAAGAGACAAAGCACACAAAAATAATAATAAATGATTGCGATTCGTGCGAGTCTGGTTGTGTTTGCCTTGCATGTGTGTTTCTTATTGTGTCGGTGTACACTATAAAAATTAAACTAAACTAAGCAGCACGGGTGACCTATAATTGAAATACAAACCATTAAAGTAAATTCAAAAAAGTAAATTTGAAATGCAACATGTAAATGTTTTTGAACAAAAATTATGAAAACTTATTTTTTTTTTTAATATCTAAATAAAATATAGCTATTTCTTTAATTCTTAAAGATCTTAAATGTTATAATAAGTTCTTCTGACTAACATAAATGTTATCTACAAACTAGCCAGTTTCTGGTATCTAAGACCCATAACTTTTTCAAGTGTTATAGTGGTGCAGAGGTTTTCAGCGTGGGTGGTTGGGTGGTTCGGTGGTTGGGTTATCACCCACTGCATTTGTGTTTGTGCAGCCTGCATGACAGCGAACGGCTTTGAGTTTGTGCATGTGTATAGAAAACGATGTTTGGCCTGATGATGAGACCAGAAGATTCGAGCGTACAAAGTTTACTTAGATGAATGGGTTAATTAGTATTAATGGGGACGTTCTTCAGGGGGCGAGGGGAAAAAGGGGCGAGTGGGCGATATAGCACAAAAGACACACAGTTGGCAAAGTTTTCCACGACGTTTCTGAAGAACTAATACAGAGTTGTCGGTTGAAGACTCAGCAGCTCTCTTTGAACCCATCAATCTGTGCCGCTCCTTTGTGATTTCAATTAACTTATCTCTGCTTATGCAGCATAAAATTATATATGTGAAACTTGTCCCACCCTGCCTTATATGTCTTTTTTTTTGTGAATATGCATTAAAGAACAGCGTCAGCGTTGGTTATAAATTGCGAAATAAAAGCGCATGACTTGGGATTCTCTTTTGATTTGCGTTTTTATCTGGCGCATATTTTGTGCGATTCACGATGCGCCAGCGGCAGTGGCAGTGGCAACCCTTTCCCAAAAAGACTCTGTGAAAATCTGTGAAAATCTGCGAAAAACCCGATACTCAACTTTCTCTCTCTTTCTTTTTTACAGAACAATTCCACATCTTTGTCGGCGACTTGAGCTCAGAAATTGAAACTCAGCAATTGCGCGAAGCATTCACACCATTCGGCGAAATCTCGTAAGTATTAAAATGCAAATTTTCCATTTGCCAGTTAACTTGGAAATGCCATTCTACCGTTTCCCCCATTCTCTGTAGCTTTTATTTCGGCTTTTTCCCCCTTTTTTTCCGCGACAATTTTCCTGTCACACATATTTTTCTGATTATTGGCAGGCCCGCTACTACTCCATAAAAAATTCATAACCGAGTTGCAAAAAATAAATTTATGCAAATGCCACTTTGGCCGAACTCTTTTCGCTGTCAGTGTAACTGTCGCCTCGAAAAGAGAGAGCGAGAGAGTCGCGAAAAGACGGGGCATTCAAATATTTAAGTTGCTATTTTTCGGCATGAAAAGGCAAAGTCACTAGCCTGCCCCCAAATTCACTTGCCACCCAAGTGCCCCCCCTGCCAATCCCCCCCCCAACCAATAGCTTTTCCCGTGGCAACGACAGCATCAAAAACTTGGCTTAATTAACTTCTGTTTAATCGCAAAGTTTTGAGTCAAAATGTTAGTCCGTCTCCTGGGAGGAGCTCTTCATCCATGGAACTTCTTCTGTCTTCTCCTCCACTGTTACAAAAGAAGGCCCTGCGGCGGCTTATAAAATATTACGCCAAAGTATTTGATTTTCAGATTTGCCGCTTGCTTGAATCGCGAAACGGGCAATTCAGTCAGCCAGTCTATCAGTCTATCAGCCAATCTGCCCGACTCATCATCTCCCAGTCTCAGCCCATGGCCAATTTAAATTTTAATAACTTGATAATCATTCTAATGACTCTGGCCTGATTGGGTTAAAGGGTTCTCTGATTCGCTAATGAGCTGGTCATGTCCTGGATCAAATTCGGCCAGAAATCACGTATTTTGGCCCGGTTGGGTGGTATTTGGAAATCCAGTTTATAAGTCAGAAAATCTGGTGTTTTATAAAAAGATCAAGTTTCTATACATTCTTTTGGTGAATAAATATTATTATTAAGTTCCTTTGCCAAATATAAATTTTTTAAGTTTGGATCTATTTAAATCGACAAATAAAATAAATATTTTGAAACGAATGTCCATGGTCCAATTCGGTTACAATTTAGAAATAAAAAGTGAATTCGCAATGCTCTTAAATCTATCAAAAATTTCTAAGAAATTGTTTTATTCTATATAAGAAATTAAATATCAATTTGGGGACTATGGATATATTTTAATGGATAAATTTAGAAATGAAGAAAATAAGAAGAAATTAATTAATAAATTCGAAATGCTTTTAAATTGCACAATATTTAAAGGAAATTGTTATATTTCTTAAAGGCATTTAGTATATATATAGAGTAGGCCTAATGGCCAGGAAGAAAATCCCTGCCTGTTGACAACCGTATCGATGGCTACGCATTTCAGATTTCAGGCTTATTGAACAATCGATTGGCACCTTTGTGATATCAATCGCTGACATCATTATCGCCGACACTCCCCCGAAAACTCAGTCCACATGGCCAGCTGATTATCTTGAAAGAATTTTGAGGTTGACGGTATGGGACCGGCTTAAAGAACTTTATTTCTTTGGTTTTTCTTTGGGGCTCGGGCGAGTCGATCTGCTAGCCGACATGTCAAAACGCTTAACGCACAAAGTCAAAGTCGGACGGATTCGGTCGTGCGGCTCCCAGGGATCAAGATGTCCCCCCTTTAAGGCTGTCAAAACTTTTATGCGTGCCTGGCGTTGTTTGCCCTTTTTTTTGTTTTTTTCTTGGCTTTGTTTTTTTCTGATGTTCCCGGGCATTGTGTGTTGCTTGGCTTTGGCATTATGTTTTGGGCGACTCTCGGCGCAGTTTGTTTCGTTTTGTTAAATGCGCGGCGCGTGTGAATATTTAATAAGAGACCTGGCAACACACAAGCCCCAGAAGCCAAAGACCCAACATTTTACTTATAATAATCATAAAAAAAAAAAACAAGAGAAAAGAAAAGTTTGCCGCCGCTGTGGTTTATGCTTCATAAATGAAAAGTAAACTGCCGGACCGGGGGTAATTGCCAAAGTTTGCTGGCAGCCCGCTTTAGTGCGGTGTCGAGGCCCCAATTGTCCAAATGAGAAGTCGTACAGCCGCTGGGGGAAATCAATTTGAGCCCCTTGAGTCGGAAGTTGGCCAATTGGCACAAGTGCTGGGTTACTAGTATACTCTAAGTGGTGACCAAAACGAGCAGGTCCTTTGTCCAAAGTAACTGTAATGAGTTCGATTTTTCAGGATGGGTAAGTCGGGGCAAGTCACAAGTCAGGAAAGCGGAAATTCATCAAAACTTTATCGTAATCTTAAAGCCCAGACTGCCTTCTTGGCTGTCCACAAATCCAAAACCAAATCCTCCCTTTGCCGCAAACTGAAAGATAAATAAAAACTTTCCAGCATGAGGTCAGATTTCTAATTTCCGAATTACAAGGGGCCACGCCCACGCCAACAAGGCAAACACAGACTGAATATATTTGAATTTTGTACTCGAACGGCTATATTTGAACACGTCGGCCAGGCGAAGCCAAGGGGAAGTCCTGCTCGGGAGATGTCTTTATTAGAAATTTGCATAAATTTTAAAGTTTGCCAGCACTTCCGTTCCGTTTAGGATATAGAAATATTTAAAACTTAAGAAACTCTGCTCAGGACTTTAATGTTTACATTTCTTGTGGTTTCTCATTTCTTTTCACGTTTTTTTCAGCGACTGTCGCGTGGTGCGCGATCCACAAACCTTGAAGTCGAAGGGCTATGGGTTTGTGTCCTTCATCAAGAAATCGGTAAGAACCGCCAGCGGCATTAGCATATTTAAGTGCATATTTATGCAATCGTGCGCAGGCTCTTTATTTTAAATTCGGCTATGCACGGTGAAAAAATATAAGGACATTGGCCACTGCCTACGAAATATTACCCTTTTAGTTATGTCAAATTTTAAAAATCATTTTTAATACTATAAAAGTTTAAATTTAAATCTATTTATCAGTTTGCACAAGTTTGTATTTTATTTCCATTTAATCATTATTGCTTTATAAATGTTTGCAGCTATCTTTGGACTCTTATATTATTTAAATAATATTTTTAAAATCTATAAATCATTTATTGTTTAAATCACTTTTTGTTCAACAAAGTGAAATTTTAATCAAACGATTTATAATTGCTTTCTACTGGACAATAAAATGGATTGTTATATATAGTTTGTTGCTTCAACTTGCTAATTTTTAATTATTGCAATAAATTTTGATTGTCATTTGATCAATTAATCAAATTTAATTTAAAAGGTTGAGTCTTCTAAATAAAAGACTTCTTAATAAAAAAATTAATACAATTGTATGATTTTAATCATACGATTAATTATACAATTACAATTACCAATACAATTCGCAATTAGCTTTTAAGGCTTTTTATTTTTGTTTTGGTTATCATTGCTTGAAAGATTGTTGTTATTAATGTCGATTATTTTTAATTTCTAATTTTTTTGTTTATCAACATTTGTTTTTAAGTCACACATATTATATACTTTAGCAGACGTTAAACCTTTAATTTTGACAAAGTGGAAATTCCCTAAAGGCCTTAATCTTGATATTTTCAAAGCACTTCATATGGAACCAAATAAATAAATTAAGCACTTGTAAATCTTTTAATTTTGATAAAAGTTTTCTTGAAGCATTTAATGCAATACTCTTAACATGATTAAAATATGTAGAGAAGAGATTACTGAACTTAATGTTATACAATATATGGCTTTATCAGTTGTTTAAAATTTAAGAATGCAGAGATGCCATTACTGAGCTGTTATTTTTTCTCCGTGCACCGTGTCCTTACTCCGATACTGCTTGTGAATGACCATGTCTCTGTCTTCATTATCGCCCCGCAGGAAGCCGAGAGCGCCATTACGGCCATGAATGGCCAGTGGCTTGGCTCCCGTTCAATTCGCACGAATTGGGCCACACGGAAACCGCCGGCGAGTAAAGGTAAGGAAATCATGAGTGTCACCCCAGTCGGCAGGCCAACGGTGTTTCCGGTGTGCGTACACTCCGGACTACGGACTACGGACACTCGACTCCGGACTTTCGACTACGGACTGCTCGAAAAGAGAGCCAGACAGTCGACGCGTCGTTCTTATTACAGGAAATTATGGCAATGAATGCCAAAGGTAGGGCCGCACAGGCACAATGCCAATGCCAGGACACCGGAAAATGTGAGGCTGGGGGTGGGTTCAGGAAAACCGCCTGCTATTTATAAACGTCTCACAAATTTTCTGCCAGATTATGTTTTCTTAATATTTTTGTCCCTTCTTAACCGCACGCGCTTAATTTCCGTAATGACCTGCTACCCAATTTGGTTTAAACTTTTTCAATTAGCCGACCCAGAAATATACTAGTACTGGAAAAAGAGATATGAAAGCACAGCCGTCTAGAGGCATTCAATTAGGAACGGCAAATCAATTTTCATTTAGGCCCAACGATAGACACGCCCCCCCAATTTATGGCCACCGATCGTTGTCAACCGCACAGACATCCGAGGCCCGTAACTATATACTTAGCCCGGGGCGTAATCATTATTAACAGCGGACAAACATGCGCGGGGCTTCCCTCATTTGTCTTTCATAAATCAAAACTTAACGCATATTTGCATGTTTTAACATAATTTTTATTTGTTAGACACAAACACACACACACACAGAGAGAGTCGAGGCGAATCAGATAAATAAATTTTGCCAACACGAAACTATTATCATAAAAGGCCCAAACACACACACACACACACACACACACAGAAAGAGGGTTATACAACGAATATTTGAAGGAAATAGTTGGAGTCAAGGTGGAATTTATCGTGCTGAGGCCCAAAAACTGTTGAAGGGTTTTGTTCGAAAGCGAGAGGGAGTGGAATATAATATTTTCCCTTTGCATTTATATTGTTGTCATAAAAAACGCCTATGAAAGCTTAAGCGTATTTTTATTGGTCTCATTGTTTATTTGACTGTGTCACGGTTTTGTCTGCTCTTCCACAATATTCTGTGTGCTCTAGTAAAATTACTTGGGGCAGGGGCATCCTGTAATACAAGTTATTATTAGCAATTTCACAGCGAAATAATTTTGATTTTTTGATCGGCTGAGTCGGCAGAAAAAAAAAACTGAGTATAGCGGTATTACACAGTAGTACAATCGCTAAAGGGTTTTTATGTCCCGCTCACATATGCAAGGGTTGAAAAATGGGTACAGCTTTTATGGCCCGCCTAGCGACTGCTGCTGCTGGCCAACTTTACGATTTGTAGCACTCAACTCATTTCGCATTTGGCATTCGCATTACTTCATGTTTTACGCAGCCACTTTGCCCGATTCTTTTGGCAATCCCAAACAAGCTGAGTAGAGTTCAGTTGAGTTGAGTTGGTCCCGGCATTTTTATGTTTTAAGCAGGCTGCACATTTCACGTCCGTCCGCGTTTAGTGGGCCACTCATGTGTCTGCCCCATTGTTGCTAAAGATTTACGATCCGGCGCAATTGCGCATTTTACAGTTGTGACAATTTTGGCGACGCTTTGCAATTTCGTCCCCGGCTAAGAGTTTCGTTTCTCACCAGTTCTCCAAATGGCACTTGCCGCGGCCCTTTTTTATGGTCACTCCTCGAAAAAGGGAAAGTTCTTTCAAAGTTTTTACCTTTGTCAACCAGAAAACCAGAGACTAAAGCCTCTATACCAAGTGCATGGCCATAAATAAGGCCCGAAATACCTGCAAGCTCATTATGGTAATAACTTAATTAACCAGAAACAATATGCCGACGACGACAATGCCGCACAAAGACGACAACGATGTTGTATGACAAATTTCTTTGCCCAAACTATTTGACTTTTGACCCGGCTGTGTGGTGGTGGAGGTGGTGGTTTATTGGCCAACTCGCAGCAAAAATATTTGCGAAAGTTGGAGTTACGTGAACTCGTTTGACGCAATAAATCAACATTTTATGCAGAGTTGCGCACAATTAAGTAAAAGTTTAAATGCCTGAATGCTTTCGAGCTGGGAAAAGGTAGCTAAATTTGGCTGCCTATGGGTGAAGTTAAGAAAGGCAAAAAAGGTTGGGCTGAAGTAAAAATAGAGTCAAGAAAAGTTAAAGAGTTTTACTCTTATTTGGAGAATTTAATCAAAACTAAAATTACAATTAAAACGGTGAACAATGAAAAGTGTCTAAGAGTATGCAATAAAATAATTTTAACGTGAAATCCCAAAAGACTTACGACGTACATTTTTTCACTCCATACTTTTAGACACAATTAAAATTTTTTTTTAAGCCCTAGCTCATTTTTCTTATTTTTTGTTTGATTATAAAATGTATATTTAGTGCCACTGAAATTAAAAAAAAAAAACTTCGATTAGGAATTTTTTGGTGGTAGTCAACAAGCATTCTAATTAGCATCCTGCCACGCCCCTGCAAGACGCCCCTCAGAGCATTAAAAAAGTAGCCCCTGCTTAACCAACATTCCCATGCATATTAATTACTTTTTGGAATTTCCTCAAGTGTTGGCCACGTCATCAAGGCTCGTGTTGCTTTTGCTGCGTGTAAAAATGTGAATTATTTATGTTAATGATTTGGTGATTATTTCATGATTTAGTTTTACATGCCTATAATTGCTCATTAAAATTTCAAATCGCCGGGAAAAACGGGAGCACCTGCTGGACGCGCCGTCGGCATTCGGTGTTTGCCCCGATAATGGCCCTCTGGCTGACCAGACTCCAATTACTTGTGTCTGCCCCCGCACACGGGATTGAAAAGGGAAACGGGAAATGGGAATTTGAAAATGGGAATGCACATGGTTTGTCGTAGACAAAAATGTGCGATAATTATGGCCACGCTTGGTAGGAAAGTGCTTTAATTTGCTGCGGACATGAAACTTGGGTCAAGTAAAGCCAAAAACCCCAAGGCTGGACACGTAGGGCGTGTGCGAATTCGTGAGGCTAAGCTCAGCACAGCACAGCTCAGCTCGTTGGTTGCATTTTCAAAATGTAATTACACCTATTTAAAAGCGTAAAAAAGAAATTAGAGAAAACAAAAAGTGCAAATAATACGGGGGGATGAAGGTCCACACAGGCACAAGGCAAAGTGCAAATTAGTGAAACATGGCGCTGCAAAGTATGTTAGGTTTCTTGCGGAACAGGTCCTTATTTAGATACACTGAAAAAGAAACGAAAGTTCGATTTGCGAATTATGTGAGATAATAAGTAATTCGATATCAAAAAAAAAGGAAAATTAGATTAGTTAAAAATATTAGTTATTTTTTTTAAAGCACTGAAAAACATAATAAAGAGACTTTTTTAAATATTAAATCATAGCTAAATGGATAAATTCCCATGGGTAGTAGATTAAAAAAAATAACTATCAAAAACCAAAAGCCTTGTGATTTTAAGTATCGAATTAAGAAAATATTTATCATTTTTGCTTTCTTCATCCCATGTTATATTTTCAATATATCATTATTTCCCAATTTTTTGAAAACCTATTTTGAAAGTGTTGTATTCCCCACTTGCGTGTGTGTGCGTGGCCAATGCGCATACATTTGTGGCAAAAGCTTTCAAAAGTATTTGCGAGCTTGTTAGTTTTCCGTGTTTTTCGGCTGCACCCTCGCCACCGAGCTTTGATTGTTGTGGCGTGTGTGTGTGTGTGTGTGTGCTGCAATCCTGTTGCATGTCATTGAGCCATATTTTTGTGTTTTCTTTGGCATGTTTGCTGCGCAGTCGAAGGCACAACAAAAGCGGAAATCCAGACAACCTGCAATGGCATTTTGGGCATGAGGGGCCAAAAGGAGGGAGAGTTAGTTGGCTGCCATAAACAGGCCATGTTAAGTAGGCACTGGACCCATAAACAGCTTGGCATAAGCTTCTCTCACATCGATCTATGCAAGTGTCATTAAGGCCATAAGCCCAGCCAAACAATGCGTGAATATATATCCCACTGAAAAACTAAACAAAGACATAAACACGCAAAGCTGACATTATTTTTAAAAGTGCAAATTTAGTTTTAACCTCAAAGGAAGTAATTAGTGTAGCTTTTGCATACAAATACGTGCATTCATGGCGCATACGGAACAACAATCAGGGCAACGACAACGACAATGGGGTTGTTTCAGATATATATACATACATATAGAGTGGGCCGTATACATTGAGTGCAAAAAGCATGTCGACAATAAAACGGCATACGAAAAATGTATATCCACAAAATACGTATAATAAAAAATGCAATAACAACCGCAACAATTTTAAATATGCAAAGGCAACAACAAGAATGCAACGGTAAATGGTGTTGCCACCACTCACCACGCCCCCTGCTGCCTGCCCCCACAGACATATACACAAATACACATGTACACTTATACCGCACACACACAACCATATTGACTAAGTGCATGCGGTTATTTTAATTACCAAAACGTTGCCGTGGCTGCTCTCGTTGCGTTGTCGGTGTATTGGTGCCGTTGTTGCGGATAAATCCGTTAATTAATTTGCATATTAATCATGCAGCTGGCGAATAAAAACGGGGACGAACAGCAAAAAACTACAGCCCATCAATTTTCGTTCGAGGCGGCAACATTATATCGAGATCCATCACACACACTGAGTACACTGAGTACACATACTTGCCTTCATCACCTTCTGATTTCTTCTGGTTGTTTTCCCCCCGCAGAGAACATCAAGCCGTTGACCTTCGACGAGGTCTACAATCAAAGCAGTCCCTCCAATTGCACCGTTTACGTGGGCGGCGTCAACAGCGCCCTCACCGCCCTCAGCGAGGAGGTCCTGCAGAAGACGTTCGCCCCCTTCGGCGCGATACAGGAGATCCGTGTCTTCAAGGACAAGGGATACGCCTTCGTGCGGTAAGAGCTATTAATTGCATTTCGAGGAGCAAATGATTTTAATTAATTACGCTGCTATTGATATTATAAATTCTGAGAAATACCAGATTTTAATTGAGTTTATTAAGTGTACAAAACTATAACTGTAATACTTATGAAATGGATTTTTAAATTTAAATGAATACTACATCGTTAACTTAAAACATAACATTTTTATTTTGTGTAATATACGCTTAAAAGTTTATTAAATAAAGATTTCCATTAATATTGGTCTTTAGAATATTGAATTTGTTTCAGTTTTTATGCATAAGAATATGGAAATGATTTTTAACGAAATTAACAACAATCTATTATTGTTAAACACAATGGGGGTTGTTATTTAATATTTTTATTGTTAAGCTTACTACACTCAGAAAACAAAATTGCTAAATTTTAAAACAAGTTCTTGAACTTTAGAAACAATGGACCAATATGAGTCTACCATATATTTTTGTTAAGTAAAAAATGACATTAAAAACTTCTTTATTCCATATGATAGACTACACAACCTTATGTCATTGTTTAGGTTTTTTTTTCCTAAGAATATGTGTTTTTTTAGTCTATCTGATAGCCCCTCCAATTACACTTTCATATTGTATTGTTTCGGTTTTGTAATTAATTAATTAATTTCACCCCCCTTCTTCCGATAGCTTCTCCACCAAGGAGGCGGCCACCCACGCCATTGTGGGCGTGCACAACACCGAGATCAACGCGCAGCCCGTGAAGTGCTCGTGGGGCAAGGAGAGTGGTGACCCCAACAACGCGCAGACCATCGCCACCCAGGCGCTGAACAGTGCCGCCGCCGCTGCCGCCGGTTTCCCTTATGGAGTGGGTGCGGCTGCCGCCGCCGCCGCCTACGGACAGCAGCTGGCCGCCACGGGCTGCTGGTACTCGCCCACGCCTACCTATCCAGCCTCCTCGGCCACCGCTGCGGCGGTAACTCCGGCGGCGGCCAGTGCAGCCGCCGTGCAGAACCAGTTCCTGCAGGGCATCCAGGGCTACCACTTCGGCCAGTACGGCGGCTATCAGCAGGGATACATGGGGTGAGTGCGGGGGTCGGAGGTCAATGGTCAATGATCAGGGGTGGCCAATAACAGCCATTGTCATGACACTTACGAACAATAATTATATTAGCTTATGTGCCGGGGTAGCAAAGTCTCCCAGGGGTGTTAGGAACTACAGAGACAGAATCCTATGGGTTTAACTATGATTTAAGTGTTAATAAAATAAAAGCTTAAGCTAAAATGCTTATTAGAAAATAAGAATTATAAAGAATCTTGTAATACGAAACTTGGTAAAATAAATTATATTAGACGGATTCGGTAGGATATAAAAATGTGTAGACTTCTTATTTGTATGTAAAAAAAAATTTAGATATTAGCGAACATTAAATATACACACAAACATTTCTTTGAAAATTCATTACTATGTTATAGTTTTATCTAAAAATTATTTATGAAATTTATGAAATGTTTGATAAGACTGTTTGAAATATTCGTATGACAAATTAAGTCAATATTTCTATAAATTTTCTAATTGAATTAATTAATTCGATTTATAACTCGTTTTCTAAACAATTAAAATCACAGCTGCCAAGTATGAAATTTTATGGCTTTTATAAGCTAATAAAAAGCAACCTCGCATATTTTTCTTTCCGTGTGAGGAGAGAAATTCAACGGCACCCATACACCCAATCCAACTGTGTACTTTGTGCAATGATTGAACCGCCACCGGGGATCGGCAAAAACAACAACAGAGACGACACCAACAACGACAGCATGACGGATGGGTGAATTCATTTGCTAATTGCGAAAGTTTTTCATTTGCACCGTCCTCGGTCTGCGGCCGTATGAAATACATTTTCGCGTCTGTCGGGCTGTCAACATAACGTGCTATTTGCATCGCAGTCGCGTACATTTTGTTTTCCCGTCCCCCAGCTGGCATCCCTTTTGGTTCTTAAATCCCTTTGCCATCCGGCGACTGCCCGTGATAATTGTGGAGCACACCACACTCCGGGGACTTTTCGCTGGCGGATCAGAGAACCCAGTAGTACAGCAGTATTGCACGGAGAAAAATCTCACCAAAATTCACTTTTCGTCTTAATTTTAATCTCCTTAAAAGATTTGTTTTATTACTCAATGTAATGCCATTCTGAAAAATTAATTGATAATGGAAAACATTTAAAATATTAATGATATTTAAGCAATACTTTTCTGATAGTAACCATAAAGAAACTTATTTTAAATCAGGTTTTTAAGTTAACGATAATGATAATTTTTTGTTTACTATTAAGAAAGTATTTAAAAAAAATCCCTATGACCATCAAATTCTATATAAATTTAATTTCTTATTAAATGAGACTAACAAAATGGAAATAAAATTTAAATAGAATTTTATGTTAAGCTATGGCTTAATCACTTGAAATAAAGTTAATGAAAACATATATTTTTTAAGTCTTCGAGAAATGTGGAAAATGTCAAATGGAAAAGGTTTTTCTATAGTAACCATAAAAAATTGACTATAAAATGTCTTACAAATATGAATTCCTATTAATTGTGTTTTCTAAGTTAACTAAGTTAAAAATAGTTAAATATTAAATGATGTTTAAGCTTAAATAGTGGGTACATAATGTATTAAACAAAAGTGAAACAGAGAAGATAGCTAGCTTTATATAACTTCCTAATTCTTTCTCAATTTACCCCTTAATAATGGTTTATCTGCGTGTACTCATGTTTGGAAACTTTGCACCCCCTTTGCAGGATGGGAGTGCAGATTCCGGCCACCTGGCAAGGCGTCACTCAGGCGCAGATCTCACCTGCCCAGCAGCTGGCAACGGGCGTGGCCGGCACCGCCATTCCGCAGGCCGCCGGCGTGGTGGCCTATCCGATTCAGCAGTTCCAAGTGAGCCCACAGGTAGGTGCCACCCACTCAAATAGAGATGCAGATTCAGATACAGATACACGGCCACATAGATATAGACACATTGCCCGACACATTGAAACATTTTTCGTGCATCTCTCCTACGTTTGTTGAAAGTTTTGAATGTATAGTATTTTGGATTCCATTGCAGTCCGCTCGATTCGATTGAATTCGATTTGATGCGATTCGATGCGATTCGATTCGATTCGATTCGTTCGGTTCGTTAGGGTGTGCGATGGGTTGTTTGCTCGGCAGCTGTGTGTGCAAACTCGATATGCGTACATATTTCTGGCTGCTATCAAAATATTCCATCGCCATTCGAATGCCTTTGCCTGCTAATGTTATTCTTTTGCATTTGCAATATCGAATGTGGACAGAGACAATTGTAATCTGTCAATATGCATGCATGTTTTTGATTAAATAACAATATACAGAAGGGAGAGGGGATAAAAACAATCGAACACAAAACACATTGAATATTAAAATAAACATTTTGATGATAAATATTAGTTACAAAAATTTTTTTGTCTGTGTGTCCTTGTTGGTGAAATATACTTTTTTTGCATGCGTTGCTTAGTAATCTTGCCATAAATTCGGCATTTGCATTAGCTTTTAAGTGTAATATATTTGCCAATTAGTTTGTTTGTTTTATTTGTTTATCTCAAGCGCTCACATTATTCAATGCCAGCAGAATATTTACTCTTGCCTATCAAATATTAAATATATGTTTTGTAAACAGAGAAGCAAGCCCCGTTTTTGCATTAAAATTAATTTTATTCCGTCTACTACTTTTTTCCAATTCTTACTAACACCCATATTATTTTTTAAGGTTTATCCTTTACTCTTGCAGGCACAGTAAACGCAAAAAGCCAAAAACCAGAAAATCCAAAACCAAAATTTTTAAGTACAGCTGCAATTTTCTGAACAGAAACAAAACCAAACTGAGCTGTAAATAAAATGCGAAGCGCAGAACACACAAATTGCAAACAAATTGATGGCAACTTGAAGTTTGGCGATTTTAGCGAGCCGCACCCCAGAAACAAGAGCAAGCGCTAGCGAATGCAAAATCCAAAATCCCACACCCACATAAATATATATCTATATATATATATACATATATATATATATGATTAACTAGAGCATAAATATCTGTCAACGCCCGTTAAGTAAGCATCATCGGTGGAAGCAAACAATTATTATGTATATGCAAAAAGCAAGGAAAGCAAACGTATTTTTAACCCTAGTTGCTTACACCACACTCACACACCCACACACACAAAACTCACACACCATATATTTTAATGCTTTATGTAAATGTGTTGAAGCACGCGGCGTATAAAAATAATAATGACAATTATTAATTAAAGAAGGCAACAGCAACAGGAGAGCGTGAATAAAAAAAGGGGAATATAAATTGGACTAGGGAAAACGTAAATCGAGTGGGTTGTAGCAGCCTAAATCAAACACAGTCGCGGCATTAAATTAAAATAAACATAATTAAAAATGCGTTAAAATTAATTAAGCGCACACGGACAGGCACACATGTGTGCAAGTAAATACATGTGTATGTATGTGTGTGTGTGTGTGTGTGTGTGTGTGCAAACTGCCCTTAACCCCACACAAAATCATCCTTTTCACAGCAGGACCCGCATCACTTTGTATTGCCAACTTTTGTGCGCGGTTTGGTTTTAGCTCGGCACACACACACACACACACATACACACCTTCCAACAGTACTTTCACTGGGCAAGTGAAAGTAGATTTTAAACGTATTTTTTAATTAATTTAACATTTACTCTTTTCAAAGTTGTGTGTAAAAGTTAAATGGTTTAAAAAAATATGTAAAATCTACTTTCACGCACCCAAACACACACTTAGCACTAGTGCCTATAACTATGATAGATGATACTGCTTAGAAACAACTGCCAGTTATCGGGCCAAGTGCAGTTAATTGGCCAACTAGCTCGTCATGTCCTGCTATCATCATTTCCTATATAGAATGCAACTGAAAGTTCACGCGCTCACACCGATTTGTGATCGATCAGCAATCGAAAGACAGGTTCCTACACACGCACACTCACACGGTCTTCTCACCAGCACTCGCAATTCGAAGTATCTGAACATATAGTAATCGTATCGTATAAAAGTCCAGGAAAATCCAGCCAGCCAACTAGCCAGCCCATTGTTTGCCTGAAATCCGAATATTCTTGTTTCATTAAGACCTAAGTTTCACGCTTTACTTTCAACAAGCGCTTCACGAGAGCCATATGTACAAAGCAGCCGCAAAAATGTTTCAAACTCCCTCCAAACAACTTATTCTAAAAAAAAACAAAACACGCCAGTATTAACCCATGTTTGTACTTGTTACGTTTATGGTTTTATTTCAGTTGCCAGAAGAGGAATGGTTAGCTGCAAATTTGTTGTGTTAGTTCTCTGTTGTTTAGGCCAAACGAAAGCGATAAGGAAACCCAAACCAAACCAAACCAAACCAAACCAAATCAATATGAAACCGAACCGATAACAAAACAGAATAGCCAAGTAGCTACAAATATATATATGGTATGAATACCAGCAATATATAAAAAGCGAAAGACAGAGACACATAGAGAGAGAGAGCAGGAGAACACAAGTAAAATATATTGAAAACAATCAAAGTATGCCATCGAATGATATTAATTGATATTAGCTAATCGAGCATAGCCGTAATAAAGTAGATATTATCGCCTAATCATATAAGCCAATAAAAACACTTGCAGCCCAAAAAGACAGTCACTCACAGGACACGATACCCAAAAGGCAAGCATTAATCAACTTATAGACAACACCAAAAATACTCACTCACACACTCACTCACTGAAAAGCATACAATAGGCAAATGGTACATACAACTAAAAGTGTAGAGAATATAAATGTAAAGTGGTAAGGCCTAGACTTATAGTTGGTTGATAGGTATAGAGTATACAGCATATGCATTAAACCAACATGCTTATATAACATATAGCAGATATAGAGACACACACACACACAACCCACTCACACACATGGTGTTTACAAATAGAGGAGAAAAACTAAATGCGAGCAACGTATGCTAAACGATATTTATTGTATATTGTGTTGTATGCGTTGGATGATAAATCACAAATAGTTGTTCAAAATGAAAACCAATTAAAACGATGACAGCAGCAACAAGAACAGGAAGCAAAAATCCCCAAGTAATAGAATATAGCAATACGCATACGTAACGTAATCGCAATCGCAATCGCATTCGCATATATTCGTACGTATCGGACAATTAAGCTGCAAGGGACGAAAAGGACGAGGCTTGATTTGCATTTGACACGCCCCAATCCCCAAAGCGACTGGCAGCGTGAAATTTGTTATGTCATTTTTTAGTGGAATTTTTCGCAGCTAACGGAGCAAAGCATTTAGTTACTCGCGTGTGGCCCTAGCACCAGTAAATGTCTATTCATAATACCCACACCGGAACACGTATAAGTATACAAAATAGTATATGGTATATACTATATGTTCGCAGGATGCGCTCACTCAGTACGAAAAGATGGGTCATTGGATTTTAACCAATGATCCGAGGATCGGCAGGACACGTAGTAGTCTTTAGGCGCAGTCGTACTGTATATTTAAATGTTTTTAGCACTAGAATATAGAGGAACTACGAGGCGCATGTAGATGTGATTTTAAAAAGGGCGGGATTGGGCCGCATAAATGCAAAGTGAAGTAAAGCTGAAAAATGCATTTTCTGTTGTTATTTTATTTTCTAGAAATTTTGTTAAGTGAAAAAACGCGAGAACAAAAAATTGAAATGTTGTTGACCAAAAGAAAAAAAAAATAATATAATCTATACAAAATAAAAAACAGTTTCGCAGAAAAACAAAAATTTGGCTAGGATACAAAGAAGAGAAAAAAAACATTTATAAGTGAAAAAGTTTATAGTTAAGAAAGAAAAAAACGAAAAAAAAAATTATCGGTTTGTTTGTTAATGTTTGCGCTACATATCAGTAAAGAGTTAAAATGGGTAGTTGGCACGTAGAAATAGTGAAGAGTTGGAAACTAAATAAGAATTGAAATGTGGAAAGTAAGAAGCATAAAAACAAGCTGGCGAAGTCGACGAACTAAATAATATACAAATATAAAAGAAAAAAGAAAAAAACATTAAAAATATATATAAATAACAGCTGTAACTGTATGTATTTATGTTGTGTATCTATAAAATGTGCTAAGTCATTTATATACGTCTATATATATATATGAACATATACAAAGTATTTATACACATGGATGCCCACGTCACATATACAGCAGATAGCAGAAAGCAGAAAGGACTAATCCTGGTAGAGGAATTTGCCCCAAACATGGCCACTACAAAAGTACTGTGTAGCTGCACTATATTGCAGGATGATTAATATTATTCATCGACTCAGGTTCCGTTCCGATCATAGCCCATTGCCATTGCCACCATTAGTCAAGCATAATTCAATTCCGAGTCCTTCGCTTTGTGTTGCTAATTCGGTTTGGTTTCAAAGCCAACCAACAACACACACTGAAACGATTGCAGTTATTAACCATTAACTACAATTTCCAATTAGTCAATTCGAAGTGTAATTAACTGGAGTGCTGAAACCGGAGCAGTTAGCAAAATTTACCACACGCAGCGCGAAAAACAAGCGATGCATGTGGGGCCACACATAGCATATAGTAAATTAAACTAAACGAAGGGAAAACAAATTTTAACGAGATCCAATTGCAGCAAGGCGAAACCGAAAATCAATCAAATAAAAGTATTATCTAAGCTACAAACAATTATATATATTTACATGCAGACAGACCCTTCAACGTGAATGGCAGTGCATACTATTTATCCGAGTTCTGAGTGTGTTTTCCATAGGTTTAATTACACACCAGTTGAGGATAAGGCAGGAGATCTAATTTACAGGCAGGCACAGAGCAGAAATATTATATTAAACGTACTAGTCACGAGAACCGTGTTGGAACCAAATCAAATTCAGTATATTCCGAGCAGGCAGGATATTTTTGTGCAATAAACCAGGCGTATTGAAGGGCATGTTATGCAATTAAAATTACACTAAGATTGTAAACAAATCAAATGCAAATGTAGAAAAATCAAATGATGAGCAAACAACCAAAAGCTGCTAACAAAACAAACATCAAAGGAAAAACAAAAGCTACAAACGAAAAAAGTTTTGGAAGGCATTCGACACGAGGACAGAACTCACAGATACAAATACAGAAGCAGATACAGACACAGAAACAGACACAGACATAGATATCGATATTATACGAACAATATATATATATATATATATATATATACACATATATATATACAGACGTAAAATATGATAAGTAAATAGCAAATAACTAAAGTAAACAAAGTATAGATATCGACTGCAGTATTGCAAATATTTTGTAGAAATTTAAGCATGTTTGAGTGTGTTTTAGGACAAGGACTAGTAAACACAAAGGCAAAAGGCAAACAGGATGAAAAAATTGAAAACATTGTAGCGGAACATAAGGGCCGAAAACATAAGCAAACAACCAAAAAAAAAACAAAAAATAACAGCAAGAACAAAGCCGAAAATTCAAAAACCTAATGCATAAGCTAAGTATTAAATATACACTAAAACAGAAATATATATACAACTTAAATACGGCATCACAAGTCACACACAGACATACACACCTACCAACACATACAAAACGGCATTTGCATAAGAAAACACACAAGTGAAAAAAACGTAACGAATATTAAAAGAGTTAATCAAATTAAGCATAACAAGAAATTCAAAGAAAAAATATTTATAGTTGAAAAAACAAACAAACAAATAAAAACCAGGATTATTTGATTGCGTATTTGTATACCAACGCGCCAAAGAAACCCGAAAAACCCAGCAGCGAATTGCAAGCAAAATATTATACAACAATGACAGCGAAGCGTAGAGGTCACCATCTCCCATCGAGAAGGTGTCGAAGGAGTGGTGACCGCGACAAGTGGGGAATGGTATTAGAGCTAGACGCTGGGTTGCCATAAGAGGCGAAACGCATAGAAAAATTATACTTAGGTGACAGCAAAAAAAAAAAAACACAAAAATAACACAGAAACAAGAGTGTAATAACAAACAAGAAAAGAAAAGAAAAGCGAAGGAAAGGAAAGAGAAGAAAAGAAAGCGAGATGGAAAAACAAAGAACAACTGCAACATAGAAATGATGAAAATAAGTAAATATACCGAATAAACAACAAAAATTATATTATGTATACATAAATATATTGAAAGAAAACAAATAAAAACGAACAAAAAAATTTTGTAAAAATAAAACATCTTGTTTGTGTTCTAATTTCTTTGGATTTTTTTTTCAGAATGGATACATTTGGTCATGGATGCCTAACTTTAAATGTTTTAATCCGATTTAAAGGTGCTAAAAATGTTTTAAAATGATAAATTATGGGAATTCTGCGTTGGTTTTAATTTTATTAGATTCTTGGCCTTATATAATTTTATTTTGTATTTGTTAACCTTGTCGAATTGTATACCATTTTTAATTTAATTTATTTGTATTCGATTATCATTTTTATTATTATTTGCTAATTTTAAAAAATCTGAAGATAAGCTCCAAACAGAGAAAACTTTTTTAAGAGTTAATTTATTGATCTCACCCCTGCCATCTTTATTGCCATAAAATTCAGGCAAAATGATTTTGCATTTTTTTGTCCGTTTGCTTTATGATCTCTGCATATGGCAGATTCTCCGTCTGGTTTTTCTCATTCCCCCGAGGCTTTTGGCCACCGCTATCTGGCTGTTGTTTTTCATCTTCCTTGTTTTTTTTGGTGGAGTGCGAGTTTCGCTTTCCATTTACACAGGTGACATGAAGAAGACGTTCTGCTACTTATGCGTATGCCCCACAGGTGAGTTCGTTAAAAACATTTATGCCCCGGATGGGGATCCCTCCGAGAACCGAGAGCCAAGCCACCTGCTTCTTGGATGGATTGGCATAACAAAGGGTGAGGACGGCACGTGCAACAATAACAAATCAAAAATTTACAAAAACAGAACAGCGACAAAATGCTGAAGGGGAAAACAGCAACAGCAACCGGAGGTGGAGATGGAAAATGCAAAGCGGAGAAAAATGTTTTAAACATATTTTTTTCGGCAATTCCTTTTGTTGTTTTAGCGTCGCGACTGCTGGCTCTTGTTTCACATTTTTGCCGCAGGTTAAAACCAGCAGACTCACACGCACACACACACATGCAAACGAGCCCCCATTTATATTTATTGTGTGCGTGTGAGTGTGTCTATTATCATAAGGATTTCAAGACACACACTCACACACCAAAGGACCCCATCATGGCTGCATTTTTAAGCAACATATGCGTTACTTTCACTTTCCCTCCACACACACATACAAATATGAGCGAGCAAAGTAATGGCGCTATGTTTGATTTGCATTGCAAATCGGCGTAATTTTGCAAAATGTCTTCCTATAAGGGAAACAATATGTTTTATTTACTTACATTTGACTTTGATTTCACTGTGTCATTCGCAACCCTCGTTTGATTTTGCTTTCGCAGGCGTGCACATGTTGGCCTTAGTTTCCTTAGCCTTCAAAAAACAAAAAGGCAAAATATCATATAAAAAGTGAAATCCAAGCCATTGCTTACTTTAACTTTACCCAGGAAATAGATGGGGGCGTAGGGAAAAATAGATTGTTTGACTTGGAAATGCTGTGTACATACGGATAAATACATTTTCGCCAGCAAAAAGATTTTCTAGGGATATATTTAGACTTGTACGAAAAATCACAGCTGTATTTAAGCATGCCATTGCTTACTTACTCTGACTTAAATTCCGTAATAATATTGTTTTTGGTACGGAAATTGTTGGTTAACCAAAAGGCGGATTGGAAATGAATCGTTTTTAAAGATAATTTAACCAAGTCAAACACAAGTAATCAACACTTTAAAAGAAATTTTACTACACAGTTTTAAATAAATATATTTTGAAACTATTGGCACATAACTATTTATTTTATAAAATATTAATTTTACTTGATTTGTATTTTATTAAACTATGCTAACAAAGTTTTTAATATGTATGCTATAGT